CCTGGATGACCGCCTCTGTTTACAGCATGGTTTAAGTCCAGGGCAAGCTCCAGCTCCCCTGCCCTGTGTGTGGTCTCCCTGAAGCCCACTCTGGAAACAGGCACCTTGACAGTCAGGTGAGCCCCCTCCCTCCAGCTTGAGGACAGGAGAGGTTTGTGTCCCCTGCTTGAGTCCCTGCGGCCACTCCCAAGGGGGTAAGAAATTAAGAAGCTGACAATCAAGAATACTCTATCCAGCAAGGCTCTCATTCAGATTTGATGGAGAAGTCAAAAGCTTCACAGATAAACAACAGCTAAAAGCATTAAGCACCACCAAACCAGCTTTACAACAAATGTTAAGGGAACTTCTCTAGTCACCAAACCATAAGCAAAGAGAACAAAAAGAAGAAAGTGGAGGGAAGACTTATAAAAGATTACTTTGGCAGTTTGGGGTGTTTTATGGTTCCTCATAAATTTCGGAATTATTTGTTCTAGTTCTGTGAAAACTGCCATACTTTGACAGGGGTCGCAACTGGATCTGTAGATGCTTTGGGTAGTATGGCCATTTTGATAATGTTGACTCTTCCAATCCAAGAGCACAAGAAATCTTTCTGTTTCTTTGTATCATCTTCAGTTTCTTTCATCAATGCTTTACAGTTTTAAGAGTATAGGTACCCTCCTTGGTTAAGTTTATTTCTAGGTATTTTGTTCTTTTTGGATGCAGTTGAAATGTTTATACCAGTTATAAAATTCTGGGTTTTGAAGTGGGGGGAAAAAAGTGAACAAAGGGCTGAAAATGGCAAAATATCCTTCTGTCTTATGAGTGAGTTGTGTTCCATTACATATACATGCTGCACCTTCTTTATCCATTCATCTATTGATGTGCACTTACTATGCTTCCATATCTTGGCAATTATAAATAATGCTGCTGTTAATAGCAGGGTGTATGTATCTTTTGAATTAATTCTTATTTTGTGGTTGGCTTTATTCCTTTGATAACTATGTAAGTTTAAAAAGCTAAATCTCTAAATGTTCTTCGAAACAATGAACAGTACATATGTGTAAATTTTAAAAATACGTGCAGTATATTCTGTATATGTATTTACATGCAATCCACTGTGTATGTGCAGTCAAATTTTAACAGTTCTACCTGATAAAACTGAAAAAAAAAGCAGAGAAAGAAAAAAAGAAATTAGGAAGCTGTTCATACTGAGTCCTCCAACTTGGGTTGAACTGAGAGTAGTTCCATTTAAAACATGTCTTCCTTGAGTCCTCCTTGGGACTTTTCAGACAAAAGTAGCCATTGCGCCATGATACTGATTTAATTAGGCCCAGCCTGGTCATTCAGGCTCCACCAGGGGCTCAGGGGCTCAGGGGTCGGCTGCCCTGGACTGGGGGCTTTGACCAGTGTCCATAGGCCTGAAGTCTCCCAGGACTAGAAGGTGGACCCAGACTCAAACAGCCCAGGTGCCTGGATGAGGTTGGGGGGTGGATCAAGAGCGCATATTGCATTAGCTCTCACCTTATTACTGAATCTTAATTCTAAATGAACAAATTATTAGACAATTCAGTTAAAGTTAATTATTCATGAGAACTAATGCTAGTGATGGCGAAGGCGAGTGGAGTTTGCTGGACTTGAAGGAAGCCGTCCACAGCAGCGGCGCCCAGATCGCAGGACTGCGCTTCCAGGCCGAGGCCACACGAGGGCGCCGCAGGACAATGAGGGCGGCTGGGCCGGAGCCGGAGGAGGGACCGGGAGCTGGGGGCGGGGACTGGGGGCTGGAGGAGGGGGCCGGGGCGCCCTAGAACGAGCCTGCAGAAGGGTCAGAGGGATGGGGCGAGGGTGGGAGTAGGGGAGGGGATCCACTGGACTGGGGTGGAAGGAGGGCGAGGAGGTCTGCGGGTAGTAGGACCAGGCAATCCCCCACCTTCTCCCCATGGCCGTCTCCCCCGGGGGTCCCAGGTGGGAGCGGACTGGCGTCAACCCGCCCAATGAGAGGAGACGCCTGGCTGGAGAACCCCCACTCCGTTGCTCCAGGTATCAACCTTCCGAAGGCGGT